TCGTTGTCGCCCAATTTCGTCGATGTAGCTCTCATCACAGTCCATGCAGTTGACCTTCTAGGGGCGTGCGATCCTTTGTTTAGGGAACAATTTCGCAAGTATGTGCATGTGTTTAAATGTAGCTCGAACACCCAAAGACCTGGATGAATTGTCCTGGCTTTTGGAAAATTTTTTTTCAAGCCCAACATCTTGTACGGGCGTCATTGGCAATGTCTTACAAGCAAGAAATCTCGATGAAAGCAAAGAATAAAATTCACAGCTCAAGTCAAAATCAAACAGTGAGCATAGTGCACTGCAGTCTGGTATTCTACCACCGAGCCAGCCAGCGCTTGAAACTGCTTTCGAAGATAAAATTATAGAAGTATATCGGGTCAATACAAATTGTGATTACAGTGTTGGCTCTCTGTATGTAAGCAATGTAATAACCACTACGTATGAACTCCTGTGACCCAGCAAGATATATTCAAGCATTTCTATACACTGACAACGCCTGCTTAATAATATGAATATTATCACATTGTAAAGTGTACTTTATTGTGACAAAAGTAATGCTTGTTCTGTAATGCGAGCCACAAAGCAGGTCATTTCTTATTTATTGCATGCCAATGTATTTGATGCACCCAGTAATCCCACATTTCCACAACTACTCAGTTTAAATAAAGATGTCGGAACATTGGGCTCAAAGCAGACAATGCCACATAGGCAGTTACTCGCTGACTGCTTTACATGAAATTAGTGACCCCAATGCATGAGATTTAGCAATTGTTCTGAAGTTGTGGTTGGACTATGGTTTCACCCACCACCGATTAGTTTTCCTTACAAAGTGACTGATGGCTCCGTTAGCCATATTGGAGCAGAAGCTATCTAAAAAGTCATCAGTCAGCTTCCATTAGTCGACGCAAAAGTATAGTGTTCCATCTTTCTCTTTAACTAAGATGACCGGTGATGATCAAGCACTGTTGGAAGGCTCGATGATGCCGTCGTCTAAGCGTTTCTCGCACTTGCGGCAAGGTTGCTGGTGTATGGGGCGCGCGTTTTGGTACATGATGATCCGGTGCCGAGAGATGGAAGTCTGAAGAACCTTAGAAAAGCTGGCGAAGCATGAGTGGAATTCAAGCAAAAGCTTCTGAAGTGCTGTCTGGTTCTCAGACGATAGGTCAGAACATATGTTGATATTGCCCAGTGGCGTATCGGCGGTCTCCACTGCTTCAGATGTAAAGCCATTTCGAACGTTCGGTATTTCACCTGCAAATGCTAATGAAGTACCACGAAGAAGCTGTCGATGTTCGTTACCAAAACTCACAACAAGCAAGTGAGATTGGCCATCGCAAAGCTGTATAATACTCTGATCTGTACTAACACCTTGGGTCAGCCAGTGAAATAGAAGTACACCAGTCGTAAATTGGCCGCACCGTTCCACTTGTTCAAGGTAGCCACGCGCTCGAAGTTGGCCAACCAGTCTTCATCACCGTCTTCATTCTCAGTGCCATAGAACGGCTTCAGCATATGCGGGCTCACCAGTGTGTAGTGGTTCACTGTTGTGCCTTCCATACCGGTTGCGGTGGTCTGGACGGGAGAGCTAGTCATACCGGTTGAAGTGGTGCAAACTGTAACATCGGCGTCCAGAGGTAATCCCCCTGATCCTGCGGCTGTCCTGATGCACAGGTTGACTGGCACAGCACTTGTAAGGCGACTCCCTGGAGGGGGTGTGCAGCGTCCATGTGAGCTACACAGCACCTTCAATTGGCACGCCCCTTTAGAGGTCCAGGTGAGGTTTATTGGACGTAGGGGTAGAGCAGCAGGACTCTTGCCAGACACCTGGCTTCGCGCGAACTTAAGAGACGAATAGCGCGTGCACTTCTTGTGTGCCCTGTGCCTCTGAATAGGCATGTTGCCCACTATCAACTACGGGTCGCAATATTCATTCCCTTGTCTTCATAGTTTTCATGGTTGACAGCAAGGGATGGTACGTTTCACTTAATTACTTGCGCTTTTCTGGTGCAATTGAAGGCCCTTCTACCTTCCTCATACAGCAAGCAAAATCCTTTTTCTAGCTACAACATTTTGCTGTCATTTTCGTCAGACATGGGCTCCTTGCCACTCCTCTTTACACCATGGCATGAACGTCAAACCATTGTTTAATCATCTTCATAAGCAATATTGTTAAGCTCTATTCTCTGAAGCTGCAAATGTTCATATCACAACTGGTTTTCTCGAAGTTGACACTATGCTGAATTCACGTAGGCAGAGAATATCTGTACAGCAGGGAGCACATTCATACTTTCTCTAAGTTGATGGGTAAACAAGCTTCCTCGTAGTATCTCGCCAAAGTCAAGGTTTTATCCATTTAGAATTTATGGACAAACTTTCCAGTAATCATGTCTGTGCTGTCTGAAAGAGCACGTTCCAGCAACTGGCTGCGCATGCTTTTGAGAAGAGAACAGGTCAAAAATCAGAAAAATGGCTCTACCTGAGTAGGGTACTTGACACCCACTTCATGGGCACAGCTTACAAGTCTCAAGCACCACAAAAGAATGTCACCAATCAGACCTTATTAGTCTCGACACTTAGATACAGTGAGGTGGAGGTGCCCTCATGCCACGGTGCAGCTCATCAGGCAAAAATTATTTCACTCTAGGCCCATTGCAAGAGCCGTAGTTTAGCTGTGCTTCGCCCTAGTGGTGCCCTGCCTGAAGGAAGCATTCTTTGTTTCACGTTGGTTTTCTTTTTTCCCATTTTCTCTTTCCAGTTTCTCCCGTGTTTATCTTTCTATTCTATTTTTTCTTCTTTATTTCTTTTAATCTTATATGTGGTTTATGTTGTCATATTTCCATAGCCGTAAGGTGTACACTTAACATCATCGTCATAAGGTAAGAAAGGATATGCTAAAGTTGGCTATGCTGTGTTATGCCAAGCGATGACAGCTTGGTCCCTGCAGTTAAATGAGAGCTGCTTTGACTGCAAGCTCCTGGAGAAAGCTCATCGGACCTTGGGATGCCTGCAAAGTGGGTGAGCCATCAACTTCAACAGGCACAACCAAAGGATCTGCTTCGACAAGTGCGAGAACTGTGCATGTTGTGAATATGACGACCTATATAGATATTGTGTGACATCCATGCATTCGAGCCTATGCCAATGTGGCATAACAGACATCAGTCAAGAAAACTGCCAATGCAATGAAGAATGGACTGCTTCCGTGTTCAGTATTTTTCAATTTCGTATTCATACAATTTTTTAGGGTCCTGAATTATACATGTCAGTGCCTTAAGGATCCCTAGGCAGCATTGCAAAAAAATGCTTGAGCAGATTTTAGTACCACTTTTAGATGAATTCTTAAAAACTAAGATGGCAGCACTGTTGGTCCACCATTCCACCATTGTGAAGTCATTGAGTGTCTATCCTTGAAATAGAATCATGTAACTACACAGGGACACATGTTCACAGTTGATTGATGTGGTGTTTAACGTCCCAAAACTACCATATATATGATTGTGAGAGACGTTGTAATGGAGGACTATAGAAATTTCGACCACCTCGGGATCTTTAGCGTGCACCCAAATCTGAACATACAGATCCACAACATTTGTCGCCTCCATTGAAAATGCAGCCGCCGCAGCAGGGATTCGATCCTGAGACCTGCGGGTCAGCAGTGAAGTACTGCAGCGGGGCCATGTGTGCATAGTTCAAGTATCATGAACGACCAATGTCCACAACACTTCTTGTATGCAGTGCTTTGTTTTTTAACACGATCACATTAAAACCATACTGTGCACCATCAGTGCTAAAATGCCTTCTTGCTGCTGTCCTAGCATTTGTTGCAAATGATTGCTGACATAAAGAATCTGAAACCAGGGGGAGAAAAAGTTACAAGAGACCTTAAAGGAAAGTCAAACATGGACTTTACGTAGAGTCCCAAACAAACACTTTGCATGTGTCATTTTATAATTCACAGTAAAGAGATCAAGCTGTTTCGATTTTCTTTTGATGCCTATCAGCAACTCACACTGGCTGAGATGTATTCTTACTGATTCTGAGAAAACATGAGATAGGGTGCAGTACAGAGCAGGAAAGCAGAAAAAGCAGTATGGAATTTCAATGCCCCAAAGCGGCTCGCGTAAGTCCTCTGTATTCTCCATGGGTGAGGCTGTGAATACAAAGAACGCATGCGTACACAAGGGATCCTCAGCCACGAAAGCTCTCTAATAACAATAACGTCAGAAGATGTGTCATTTCACATGAACCACCATGCATTTATACAAAGCTGCTTTTACACAACTTATTAAATCGCGGGAAATAATGTGTCCCCGAGACAGAGAGGGGCCAATGTCCGCATTCGCCACGGTGGACATTTCTAGACGGTTTGAAAAAGACATGCCTTTTGTTTTAGTTTTTTTAGAAATGGAATGGTGAGGCCGCTTACACGTTGCCTCGGTAATAACTGCTATTTTAGTCTTTTTCTTCTTTTTTTACGAGCGCGAACTCATTTTGCATGCTTCAAATTTGATCAAGTTCGATACGTGCTCTGTGAAATAAAAGGTGGCGATATGTGGGGCTTAACGTCCCAAAACCACCATAAGATTATGAGGGACGCCGCAGTGGAGGGCGCCGGAAATTTCGACCACCGGTTCTTTAACGTGCACCTAAATCTAAGCACACGGGGCATTTACACCTCCATCGAAAATGCTAAAATTAAAGGTCATTTCGGCAATACAGTTACGTAGTTTTTAAAAGGCACGAAGCGACGACCCGAAGGTGGTGACGCGCTCTTCGCGACCACCCAGGGGTCACCGAAGAGGGCGTCACTTCGTACTTACTTCTCGGCAGCGGTGGCGAGAACGTCTGGCGCTGAGTGAAGCAGGACAGCAGCGATATTCGCACGAGCATGGCCGAAGAGGTCAACACAAACCATATCGCCCCTACCGATTCCGTGCTAAAGTGCGGTCAGTTAAGGTCGAGAAGGAAAGGGTAATAAGATGGGTTCATGTACGCGTACTACGTACCTCGCTGCACCTGACACACGGTGGTAGCGCGAACGAGCTGCTGTAGCGGCGTCCCTGCTGGACACAGTGCGAAAGTAACATTTATCCGGAAAAGTGGTCAGTGGGTCAGTCTCACACTCGTGGAAACACAGTCGAAACTGAACGCCAAAAAACACACACTACTTTCAGCTCGCAAATCACCTCAGAAACAAGGTCACAAGGCTGTCACTCGAGTATCACAAGAGACCATATTTAAGGGAACATCACAACCAAGGTGATCACTACAGCCCATGGAGGAACAACAACGTATCCTTTAATTAGGTTCCCTGACGAATGGCTCATGTTGCTACAGGAGTCGCCCTGCCTTCGCGGTGGCGCTCGTGACCAACATCATGTTCCTAGAATGTAGTCTCTTGTTATTGAGGGAGATAGTTTGGATTTTAGATTCAGCTAGGAAAAATCAGCAGTCATGATTTTTAATGATAACGAAGCTAGTGAGCTTAGAATACAGGAAGTCACGCTAGAGGTAACAGATAAATACAAATATCTGGGCGTATGGATAAACAATGGGACCGAGTACCGAAGGGAACACGAAATAAACGTGACGACTAAAGGTAACAGGAATGCAACGGTGATGAAAAATAGGGCACTGTGGAATTACAATAGATATGATGTTGTGAGAGGAATATGGAAAGGAGTCATGGTTCCTGGGCTGACGTTTGGCAATGCGGTCTTGTGCATGAGATCAGAACTTCAAGCAAGATTATAAATTAAGCAACGTGAAATAGGTAGGTTTGCTTTAGTAGCTCACGGGAATACACCAAATCAGGGAGTACTAGGTGACATGGGATGGACATCATTTGAGGGCAGGGAAGCTAGCAGCAAGTTAAATTTGAGAAGCGATTGAGAGAAATGGGGGAGGAGCGTTGGGCTAGGAATGTTCTCAGCTACTTGTACATAAAGAATGTCGATACAAAATGGAGGAAGCGAACCAGGAAATTGACTGGTAAATACTTGGAAAACAGCAGGCGGCCAAACCAAAAAGAACTATCAGTTAAGAAGAAAGTGAAGGAAACGAAGACTGACATGTGGAGAATCGGCATGATTAAGAAGTCCGCACTAGAAATCTATCGACCTTTAAAGCAGGAAATTGCCAAAGAAAGGATCTATGATAATACTCGGGGTAGATCTCTACTGTTTGAGGCCAGGACGGGAGCATTGCGAACCGAGACATATCGGGCCAAACACGAAGGGGTAGACATAGTATGCAGTGCGTGTGGATAGGAAGAAGAAACTGCCGAACACTTGATAATGTTCTGTAAAGGGCTTCACCCTATAGTTCAGGATGATGGCGCAGAGTTTTTTAAAGCACTGGGGTTTAGGAACAGGAAGGGCAAAATAGACTCTAAGCGGGTAGACGTACCTAGAAGGAGGTTATCTGATTGGCGGCTAAAGTCAAGGCACGAGTGACAATGAAACCCTTCACTGCAAAGTACCCGTCCAACTTTACTATTTAAAGGGAAAAAAAGATAAATCTAGTGGTTAGTTCACTAAGTATTGCGGCTAGGTGACGTTAGCCGCCCTATCTAAAGGGTACAGCCACACACGTACATCCATTCATACATCCATTCATCTAGGTTCCAGAAGCGACATTACATTCCAGCACCGTTACTGGATGAATGAATGAATTGATCGATGTGGCTGCATACTTTAGATGAGAGACTGAATGGATGGATTTGGCTGTATCCTTTAGATAAGGCGGCGGCTATCGCCACCTAGCCGTATTACTTAGTGAACTAACCACTACATTTATCTTTTTTTTTAATAGTGAGGTTGAGGATTCGTACTTTCGCGATCAATTGTGCTTCGAAGCAGGCTGGTCCCAACGTGAAAGGATCGACTTCTTTTTTTTAATAGTGAGGTTGAGGATTCGTACTTTCGCGATCAATTGTGCTTCGAAGCAGGCTTGTCCCAACGTGAAAGGATCGACTTCTGCATCTGACACATGGCCCGACCTCGGGCAAGTCAAGTCAAAGCCCATGTAGAGTGTACTGGTAGGCTGTCATAGCGGAGTCTCTAACACTGGTGAGTGCATTGGGCATGATACACGTGGTGATGAGGATGAGGACACTGTGTCAAACTTTTGAGGAAGGGCACAAACGTGGTTGATTGAGCTGTGTTGACTGCCTTGATACTGTTTTTATTTTTTCAGACTATACGTGGACTCGAACGCCTGACAAAGCTGTCAGTTGGGATTAATTACTGTTAAATAAATTTCAGTCAACAAGCTTTGTTTGTTTTGTCACCTCTCTTGATTGATACAGTACATATACACGAGACCTCGCAGGTGTTTTTTCTTTTGATGTATGGAAATATCATGAAAACATGTAAATCCTAAGTAGTATCACTGCCCACAGTATAGAACCGGCCACGCAATCGCTGTTCCGAAAAGATACTCAAAAAGTCCTGAAGTGTTGTTTTGAGGATGTACTGAGGTTGTTATGTGTATGGACGGGATTAGTGCCATTCTAGTACCTTAAGAGGACATTCTGAGGGCGTCATATTCTCCTCACGGAGGCATACTAAGGACGTCCTGAGGTTGTGTTTGTGTTGTCTAGGACGTTTGGACTTACGCAATTAGTCGATAAACCTACGCGTGACAGCGATAACTCCCTTCATATTCTTGACCTTGTTCTTACTTCTGAGCCTGAAAGAGTGTCCCAGATGACGTTCCTACCAGGACTCAGTGACCACTTAGTAATCCATGCGTCCTATTCTTGTAAACTACACCATTCAACAAAAACAACAAAAAATATAACGCTGTATGATAAAGGCAATTACTCCGCTATAAACTCGGATCTCGAGCAATTCGCTGATTTCTTTCTTATCGACCTTTCAAAGCGTTCGGTCGAAGCTAATTGGCTGCTATTCAAAATTAAAATGTTATATCTATTCATTAAGCATGTGCCCACGATTACCGTAACCGAGAAAAAGTCATCCCCGTGGTTTAACATCACATTAAAACGCCTAAATAACAAGAAACGACTCTTTCGATCGACAAAGCGGTCCAATAGCGCATGTGCGTAGAACAGGTACTACGCTGCAGAAAAATAATTCGATAAACTTGCTAACAAAAAAAAAAACATTGCCCGCTATGATAAGCAACAACCCCAAAAAATTCTGGCGCACAATTAACCCCAGTACCTTCCAACCTGTAGTACTGCACAACGATCAGAATCTTCCAATTCCCGATCACGAGGCCGCCGAACAACTTAACAGCTTTTTTTCTTCCGTGTTTACCGTTGAACCTGTCGATCACTTGCCTTCATTTCTTAATCTCAACCATAGTGAGATGCCGGACATCACATTCGAATCAAACGGCATCGCAAAACTAATCGACTCACTGAAACTCACATCTTCATGTGGCATCGATGGTATCAACGCGAAAATGCTCAAAAACACGAAATCAATTGCTAGTACACTACTCTGTCATATTTTTCAGCAGTCGCTACCATCAGGAGTGGTGCCGGAAGATTGGAGAGTGGGCAAGATTGTTCCAGTGCCCAAAAAAGGTCCTTCATCTCTTTGCAGCAGTTATCACCCCATTTCCCTTACTAGCGTTTGCTCCAAAGTAATGGAGCATGTTATTTACTCTAACATCGTCAAGTTCTTAGTCAGCAATAACTATTTTCATTCCAGTCAGCACGGTTTTCGCTGAGGATTTTCATGTGACACACAACTAGCTTTATTTTATCATGATATCAGTTCCAGCCTCGACAAAAATATACCTGTTGACGCCCTCTTCTTATAGAGTTTGAAAAAGCATTCGACGAAGTCCCGCATAAACGGCTACTACTAAAGCTTTCACGTCTAAACATTATTACAAATGTATTTATTGGATTCGCAGTTTCCTTACAATCGCCAACAATTTGTGCATGCTAACTCCATCTCATCTAGCCGTTCCTCTGTAATCTCTGGTGTGCCGCAAGGTACAGTGCTCGGACCATTACTTTTCCTCATTTACATCAAAGACCTTCCATCAACTGAGGGGTAATTCTAGACGCCCAAAGCACCACAGGAAGAAATAATCACAGAGAAAGAGCGTCAACCTTCTAACTTCTAACCTTCCATCAAACATCTCTTCAAGCATTCGCCTCTTTGCAGACGACTGCGTCGTATACCATCCCATAGCAAACAGCGCTGACACTACTACACTTTAAAACGACCTCAACCTAATTGTACCCTGGTTTGATAAGTGGTTAATGTCTTTAAACATAAAGAAAACTTTATTGGTATCTTTTCATCGCAGGCCCCATCACCAGTCCGCAGAATACACCGTTTCCGGCACTGCAGTCTCACCCGCTGAATCATACAAATATCTTGGTGTCACATTCTCAAGTAACATTTCCTGGTCAGTCCACGTGACTAACATAGCCAACTCCGCGAATCGCACTCTGGGTTTTCTACAGGAGACACTTAAGACTTGCGCCCCCATCAGTTCAACTAATATCGTATGTCACACTTGTTGGTCCAAAATTAGAGTATGCATGTTCTGTCTGGGATCCCCACATATCTCACTTATCCAACATTCTCGAATCTATTCAAAACCGTGCTGCACGTTTTATCTACTCTATAATATCAAAGGACATTGAGGAGTTAGGAGGAGAGTGCGAGATAATTATACTAAGAGATATGAATGCGCACTTAAAAGATATAGGTGGGTATACTGACCCAACAGGCAAATTGATCATGGCTATGTGTGAAAGGCATGATTTGATCATTTGCAACAGTACCGAGAAGTGTGAAGGGCAAATAACATAGGAGGTAGGAAGGCTGCAGTCGACGATAGATTACGCACTGATGTCACATAGAATGTATGATAAGCTCAGGGGAATGCAGTTAGATGAAGGTGGCTCCAACAGTCAGGGGATCACCTATGTATCAAGCTAAGTTTTTGAAGAGCAAATAAAGTGGGAAGGAAACAAGATGAGCACCTACAGGAAAGTTTTTATTCAAAATGCAAATATAAATAGCTACTAAACAAATTGAGAAAGTAATCACTGAGGATAATAAAACAGTGTGGATATACATGAATCTAATTAGACTGTTTGAGCTAGAGCTTGCTAAGGCACGCGACAAGTCACCCCAGAAAACTAGACACAAACCCAAAAGTTGGTGGGCTGAGGAAGTCAAGAGAGCCATAGCAAAACGTCAGGAAGCCTTTAGGGAACACAGACATGCTAAGCAGCGGGCTGAACCGACAGATGATGTTGAAACAAAATGGGACATCTTTTTAAGCTGTAGACGGGAAGCATCCCTTCTGACCTATGATAAGATTAGAAAAAAGGGAGCTATGTGGCTGAAAG